AGGTGCGGAAAAGCAGAGGCATTGATCGATTCCTATTCACACCACGATACGATAAATCTAAATACGCGTAATAGCACGAATCGTCGTTGGCGAGTTAGTGACGCAGAGCATTTGTGTATGTGCAAACTGTTGCACGGAAAACTCGTCCGCGTTCAACGATGAGATTCATCCGCTCTTGTTTCTGGGTCCATTGGAGTGTCCTCGTTTGATTCAAACACTGGATTCTCTACACCACCGTCTGGCGCTACTATGTTCAATGGATATCTTTCCTGACCTCCAACCCAAGCAGTGGAATTTGTAGGGGGTGTAGTTGCGATATAAAGGCTGAAATTGCGGAATAGGATAGGTAAGCAGAGCAACGGTAGATTTGTTTGAAATGCTCTACTATTGCTAAAATGCCAGAAGGTCGTGAAAAAAAAGTCTACAGTTTAACTGCAATTTCGCAAGGACGTGTTTCAAAAGTTTCAATCGATTATTGATTAATTTGTAATACTCACCGATTCTTATGAAAAAAGAGTAAGACTAGAGCGGTGGTGATTAACAAGGCGATGAAGAAATTACGGACTGTCGCATAGTCTGAAATAACAAAATTAGAGTAGCCATGAAGTAAAAATCGATATATCGACTTTTCGAGAAGTGGGCTCACCAATATCACGCGTTTTTATCGAGGCTTGAGCAAGATTTATGCAAACTCCATCATCATATCTCATACCATCACGGCACAAACATTGATATCCCTCTAGAAATTTTTAATTTTTAAAAGATTTTTCTAAAGAAGTGGATGGACGGGTCATCACTGAACCAGTAAGGATTAAGCAAAAAACTATCGTCACTTCAGTGATATAGGGTGGAAATCTAAGGTACTGAGGAAGAGCTGACAAGTTTGATGTAACCAAAACCAGGGAGCTTTTAAGCATCAAATCCGCCCGCTCCATTGGCTTATTTTGCTCTACTCGTACTTTGATGGGTAGAAAACGTTTAAACAAAGTTATTGACTCACCTCTTGTGTTTGTTGGAACACATATCTGCGTACATGTCCTATTATTTTCACAAGGATTATTCTTATTCTTCCTAGGCCATTTTTCTGGATGCACCAACTGGAAGAAAAAAACATGAAGATTTTTAGAAATTACGTTTCAGATGACGCGATATACCTGTATGCCC